TTGAATCATGAGCTAGACACCAGCAACTCCCCATGCTGCATGCTACTGTTTGCAAAGTTGGCTGAAACTCTGTCAAATAGCGAAATAGTTCCAAATAAGATTTTTTTTCCTGCATATTGTTGGTCCTCATGCTTGCAACAGGAAAATGTTTTTAGTTTTTCACGTTTAACATTAGTGCAGTGAACTGCCAATGCATTCACTGAATTTATGCCATTATGGGGCTGTGTGAGAGAAAAGGGGCTGCTTACACCAGAGAGCCTTTCTCTGGTGTGTGTGTGTGTGTGTTCTTTTAGAAATCATCAGCTAACAGTTATTTTTAGGCATCACCGAAATGAAGTTATAAACAGCTGGTGAGCTGAGACCTTTAGCTTAGTGTTGAATGGCTCACCTGTATTGCACTTTCCCTCTTCCTCCTCCAACCAGCTGCTTTTCTTGTGCACCTGCTTCACTCTGACATGCAGCCCCTGAAGAAGGAAGATCAGTGCTTCACTCCATGCCATTCTTTGAGGCTCTAACCTTCAGCTGAAGTTTCTAGCTGCCACAGAACAAGATCACAAAATTAGCACAATACAGTAATTCAAAGTGGAAGCATTGGGGCTGGTTCAATAGTTGCAACTGCTTTAATTCCTCCCTCTAAACAGGTGGGTTTATGTAAAAATAGCTTAAAAAGGCATTGTAAGCTGAGTCTTGTTTAAGCTGTTACTGAACCTAGACCAGAATCTCTGAACCTTTTTCTTTTCTTTGCAAAGCTGTAACTGGAAATGCTCAAAGTCAGCTTTGTCAATCTATGTGGAGCTTCTATTGTCCCTGAATCTTTTTTTTTTTTTTTTTGTGTTCGAGCTAGGATCCAAATATTTTTATTGCTTTACATGGCATGCAGTGGTATTTTCAGGTGAGAAATAATAATTGGAGAAGGAAGGAAACAAGTGTTTTTTGATGAGTTTTATGTTTCCTGTTTCAGGAGTCACAGGTAAAATTGCTCAGTGTGTCAGGTTTTTTTGACCTATGCCAGGTTTTTTAGAAGGAAATGTTTTATTCCCTCCTTTGAAGGTGCTAGAAACTGAAATATTTTTCTGCAGCTATTCAAATATGCAGATGATGTAAGTGTAGATAAAGCTCAGAACTCTGGCTTTGGAGCCCTTCTCAAGCTGGGGCTGAGACAGGCCAGCAAGGGCATTTTGCAGATTTTGCAGCAGTTCTCCCACTGTTCTGACATTCTATTATTATTTTCAATCACTTATTTTTATTTTGAATTGTCAGAAGTTTAATTCTGTCTGAGAACCTTGGCTGAACCTGATTTACAGCTGCCTGTAATTGTGTTGCAAAAAGGAAAAAAAATGATAGTAAAATAATCACAGCCATAATCAGATCTAGATTTTGCCATAGTTTCTCACATAAATCTCCTTAGTGCTTTTCCCATTGTGACAAGGTTTATGATGAAAAATAGAAGATCTCTTTTCTTCCTAGAAAATGATGCATCCTGTGGAGTAATTAATCTGGTTAAGGAACTAAGGCTGGCTTGTTCTGCTCTCCATTCTCCCAACAATTTCTGTCCTACACAGAAATCTCTGCAGTGAGAGCAATAAATTAGAAATGAATGACAGACACTAATTTTTTGTGACCTCATTGTCATCTGCAGCATGGAGCAGCCTATGACCATTCCCAGTGTATCAGCTGCAGATATTTTTAGTCCACAAAATTTAAAGGATAGATTGAAGAATAGCTGCTCACTGGGCATCCCCTTTCTGCACATCCCCATTGCAGAGCTGGCCCCATGATCTCAATCCTTGCTCTGGCTCTGTGCTTTGCCCTTGTTGGCTTCTGATGCTGTGGAAAAATGGATGAGAATTAGGGCTGCAAGTGAGTAACCCAAAGGCAAGATAAGCATCCCAATTCTTGATACCAACCTATTTTTGTGAAGGTGCTGCTGAACTGAAAGTCCTTTTCTTTGTGTCTTTTTTCGTCCTTTTTTTTAATTATTTTTTTATTTTTTAAGGCTGACCAGTGCAGTAACTGTGGATTTGGGGGTTAGCAAGTCATCACTGTGACCTAGAAAGTGATGGGAGAAAGCTCTCTGTTGAGGAGACAATTGCTGAAGCAACAGCAAATCAACTTTGAGATGGAAAATGCAATGGAAATATGTGAGGCGTGGTCTGGCTAACCAACCATGCATTGAGGAGCATTGCCTGTAATTGCTGCCTCTCACACACATGCACATATATAAAATACAGTATACTCATTGTTCCTAAGACCTTCCAGAGACACTTTGGTGCTCTTTTGGAAGAAGGCAGCAATGTGATATCATTTATTTAATTGCTGCTTTATTTTGGTCAATGTTACTGCATTTCTGGGGTAACTGTCAGTCAGACTAAGCTACAATGTGGTAGCTGGAGCAAAAAGCACACTGCAATATGCTCTGAGGGGAAGCCAGACAAATGATGATTCCTTCCCACAACAAGATCATATCAGCAGCACAAAGAGCTAGAATATCAGATTTAGAAAAAGGTATATGAAATTATTGTCATCATGGCTGGTTTTGCAGGCTGTCTAACCAATTCTCTCAGAAGTAAAATATCCAAGTGTTTGATGCTTCCTGTGGGGTGGAAGTTCCATTCTCACATTACTTGTGCCATAAAGACTCAAGTGTTTTGTTCTATAAACTGCAAGAGCATAGAGTATGAAGAATAAAGTTCTCAACCACTGGAATTAGATTGTTGTTTCAAGTGAAATGAGCACACCACATCTTGGAGACCCCTTCATTAAAGCAGGTCAGTTAATTTTAATGAAGTCATCTTCAATTTGCTTTGATGCTATATCAGAATCTAGCCCAGATGATTCCAGATGATCATCAAATGAATTTCCACATTATGGTCATTCAAGGACATAGGCTTTGTCAAGTTTTCTGGGGTTTTGACTTTTAAACTGTTTAATTTGACTCTTTTTTTTTTTGAGGGAATTGCTGACATTTCTCAGAAACTGAGCCTCTTTTGGGTTCCATATATTGGGCATGTCAGGCAGAGCTTGCAGCATCACTGCTGCTGGTTTCTGTTAAGTCTAAGACTGTCTCATGCAGGAAGATTAGGCTGCTCTGCTTCTCCTTTTGAGTGGGGAGAGATGTGGAGTCCCAGACGTGTAATTTCTGTAATTACTCAAGCAAGGAATCATTGTCAGGCCACGCATGCAGGGCCCTCTGCTCAAATTTTTCCAAAGGAAAGTCAAATGCCAAGTAGCCTCTCATCCTAAATTGGAACAAAAAGGACAAAAGTGACCATTTTCTTCAAAATGAAGCTCCCTAAAATATTTTCAGAATATTGAACATGGATTGAAGTGCTTCACTTAATAAGCTAGAAGAATTTCTCTGGTTTGAAATCCAGACTTGTCTTGAGTTTTAGTCACGTTTCAGTGCTTGGTGATGAGGAGCATGAAGGCATCAAAGACACAAACACAAGCAAGATCTGTCCTGACTCACCACTGATTGCAGCATTTTTGTATTTTTGTCAGCAGCGTCTGAAATTCAGTAGCAGAATTCCTTTTATGTTAATTTGTGACTGTTTGTATTGTTTCACTTTATCTCAGAACAGGATTTTGTCATAAACATTGCAGGAGAAAATGCAGAATTTTACCCATTCAGATCAGTAATGAACCAATGTCTCTATGGGCTGTCCTGTCATTAAACAGAGATGGTGATGGAGCTGTAACAAGTAAGGACATTGTTTGCAGTGAGGTGAAAGAGAATTTCCTCCCAAGGGTCTGATCTGCCCTCCTTAATGGCACTTGGAGAAGCCAGTCCCACGTTTGTACTGCCATGTGTGTTTGTTGCTACCAAATGTTGACAGTTCCTTTCTTTCTTTTTAATCATTTAGTTGAAATAATGACATTTTCCTCTTGAAAAAGTCTTGATTTGAAAAATGTTGAGTGGGTCAAGCTCTAATTGCTTTGCTTGGTGTCGTAAATGATTTGGGGGAGAGTCACACATTCCTGTATGGTGTTCCCAGGGTTATTATAAATAACTTTATCACTTATAATGACTTGCTGATAGCCAGCCTTTTGGAAAGGAGAGCTTTGACATTAAACACAGGATATTTGAGGAGCTTATTTATGAGGATTCAGCACCAAATTAAATGCCTGTTGCCATGGAAGAGGTTCCTGGTGATGTGATCATACGAGCATTTTTATATTGGTTTTATTTTTATTTTTGAGTTGACCAGTGAATGAAACCTGTAAATGCATTGTTAATTGGCTGATTTCTCAGCACTTACTGAGTGTCCAAACTTTCTGCTGCTGTGAGCTCTACAGAGCTGAGTATCTTACATATTTCATTTGTCAGATGTGAAGTGCAGAGGAAATCTGGAGTGATTCCCAGGTGGAGTGTCAGCTCCATTAAAATAGTTTTAGCACATCTTTGTGGCGACAGAGGCTGGGCAGGGTGTGTATTCGAGTCCAAATCACCCATCTGTTGAGTCAGGCAGTGAAATCAGATTTATCCTGTATTTACCACCCAGCAGAAGCTGGTGGCCAGTCCATAGGAGCCAAACCTGGACCAGGGCTGCAGGGTCCTGGAGTCCCAGAGCAGGTACCAGAACTGACACTAATGTGGAGTTAAACTGGCACACCTACATGTGGTAGAAATTCAACATCTCTCCCTTAAAATGAACGAAGCTTTAATGGGCTGCATGGGGAAACCCTCCAGTTCTAATGGGGAAAATTTTTTCTTAATTAGCTTAACAATAATTAGCCATTTTGGAAAAAGAAGGAATCGTGAAAGCTGCTAATTGATTCTTTATAGATTTGCTCATTATGCACAGATACTACAAGATATGTTGATTTAGACTTTTGTTTGGGAAGCTGAGGGTAATTTCCACAGAGCCATGAGGGTTTTAAGAGCTGGGAGTTCAGGTCTCATTTATCTGAAAACATTCTGTGTCACAAAAAATGTTCTATCTATTATATCTATATTATTATATTAATAATTTGAATTTTTTTGTCTCTGTTTCATTTAGGTCTGGCAAAGCCCATGGGATTAGTGGAAGGTCCAGGAGGCTTGGGCCAGGGGGGAATGGCTGCCACCCTGAGAGATGACAGCCATGAATCAGAGACTAAGTATGAAGAGTATGGTTACAATGCCCAGCTCAGTGACAGGATATCACTGGACAGGTCCATCCCTGACTACAGACCTAAAAAGTAAGTGGAATTCTGCATTATTATTATTATTTGGAGTAAGGGATTGATTGTTGTTCTGCTGACTCATGGTGGCATTCCTCACATCCCTCCTGGCTGGAATATGACAGCAGTTACTTGTACAGATACCCTGAGCTGAGTGAAAATGAAATAAACCAACTGCCATCTCAAGCATGGAGTGCCAAATTAAATGCATAGCTAATTCTGTCAGTAGTACATTAATATGCATGTTCAATGCCTCAGTTCAAAAATTACATCAGGATATAAGTGATTTTTGGGTTTGGTTCATTTAGAAAAAGCTTTCACTGATTGTCTATGCTTCCTATAGTCACATGCAATGGGAGGGAGACAGTGCAACAAACACTTTATAGTCACTGGTCCCTTAAAAATAACCCCAGCTTATCAAATCAATTGTCTTTAATTGCATTTGATATTCTTAGAATTGTTTAGTCAGGGTTTGCAGTGTGCTGAAACATGGACTAGGTGCAATCCATCGGGGTCCTGTAATTGCAGGAAGGTTTTTTTTGTCTTTGGAATGTGTGTCTATTTTTATTCCACTGTTTATAGTCTTCACACGCCTGTGCTGTGCTTGACATTGCAATTACATGTTTATTATTTGCACTGATTTATTATATTTTGTATTAAATAACTTTCAAATCTTTCATATTTATGGAGTTATATATTTTCCAGATGAGACATCCACACTATCATCCCATGAATGACAATCAGTAATGTCTTAATGCAGAGGAGATCAGCAACAAAGCCTAGTTGCTCTCAGGAGACAGAATTGAAAAGAATACTTAATTAATTTCTAATAATAATCTTCAGTTTTAAAAGACCCACTGGGGCTCCTAGGCAGAACTGAAAGTTAAATTAAAAAGTATCTTATTAAATGGTGAGAAAAGTTTAGCCAAGCTAAACAGCTGTGGTCTCTGAGTAGATTGCAATTGAATTAGGATTTTAGGCAGTTCAAGCTGCCAAAAACAAAACTTCAGCTTAAGTACAAATTTCTTTAGCTGTATTACATACTAAACTGATCTCAGAAGCATTGACTCAGCATTTGTTTTCTCAAACCCTTGCTACAAAAAAAACCAAAACTCAGGTATCAGAAGAGGCAAAAAGAAAACAATCTCTGCCTTGATACCACGTTTGATGTACATTGACTTGTTTAAAGGTCTCATCTCTCCTCTCTTGATGTATCATAAAAATCCATCCTGGAATTATGCTGGGGAAATCTGTAGTTATGCAAATATTGGAGCTGTGCATCAGATCTGGCCCAGAGACCCTAAAGTCAAAGTGAAGTTTCCCAAATGGAGCTTGGTGAGGTTTGACCTGGCTGTTATTTGCTGCTGTGGGCAGGGCGATGAGGATGAATGAGATGTGTTCTGCTGGGAAATGCCAAAGCAGAGGCTGCAGAGCTCAAATCCAGCTCAGCAGCTCTCAGAGGCATGAGACCCTTTGCAATGCAGGGATGTTTCACTTCAGATTGTGCTCTCCCACAGTTTTGCTGAGGAGCTTTGATGAGTCACTCAGATGAGCTTTTTGACATTCTCATTGTGGGTATCTCATCAGGCCATGCCAGATGATTAAATATCTGTGTTACTGGGAGAACTGCCTCCCTTGCCATGTTTGGACACTCCTGAGTTGGTTCTAGTTAGATCTGGAGGCCGCAATTGATGCACTTGTCTCTAGATGAGTCACAGGAAAACCCTTCAGACTGAATTTGCTATGGAAAATGAATGAGAGTGGAGATAGTAGAAGGTCTTTGTATAAGAAGATTTTGCCCACTGAGAAGGTTGGAGAGCAGCCCTGAGGAGGATGTGGGGGTGTTTGTTGACATGGAGCTTAGCGTGGCCCAGTGCACTCAGAGTCCAGAGAGCCAAAAGTGTCCTGGGCTCATCCCAGAGGGGATCCTGCCCCTCTGCTCCATTTTTTGGGACCCCACTGGAATTGTACCCAGCTCTGTGGCCCCCAGCACAAGGAGGACATCTACCATAGCTGAGTTTGACTCTTTGGTTTGGACACTGATTATGTTTGGAGAGAATTGAATCTCCATGAGCTTGAGACAGGCTTTGAAATCCCACTCTTGTCCAGTTTCTCTGTGTGCACAGTTGCCCAGTGGTCTCCCCTCTCCACTGCTGAGCTTGTCAGTTTGCTTGTGCTTTATATTCATGTCATTCCCAGAGCTGTTCATTTTTTAAAGGAGAGGGCTTTTCATTTTTTAAATTGAGGCGCAAGGTAGAATCGATGTCCAAGGCCATGTACATAGTCTGTGGCCAGCCTGTGAATAAAACCATCTGAATTTGCATTCCCAAAGTATTAAACTCTGCTTTCTCCCCATTCTGGCTTCCATTTGAAGTATTCAATCTATGTATTTTCACAAACCAGTATTAAAGATATGAACTGGGAGGATTTATACTCAAGTCTACATTGCACAGGCAAAATTTATGAAAGTAAATATTATTTCAGTATGCAAACTCAGGACTTAAAATACTCCAAGTTTGATGAGAAATATTGTATTTTACTTCATTTAAACTCCCCTCTCACCATTGTCCACTCTCTCATTCTGATAGAATAAACCTTCTATTCCATCCACAAGCATAGGTTCATAAACATTTGGCAGTTTAATTGCTTTTCAGGAGGTATTTTCATCCCCATGCAGCAAATTAAAAATATGTTGTACTACAGATGTGCAGAGTCAGCCAGTGTGACCAAGAAGCTCCTGAATTGGAGTCACCTCCCCCTGTCCTTGCACTGCAGCAGAGCCTCAAGCCTGGGTGGGCACTCAAGATGCTTTTCTCACATTTTGTTCTGCTTTCCTACCTGCTGCTGCCTCTGCTTTTACTCCTTTTTGCCCAGAAACCTTTTCTTTAGGATACGAATTTCTGTTGGTACAGGAGACAACAGCAAATTTTGTTTGCGTGCCAAATAGAGGCAATGGCAGTAAACTTCTTGTTTGTGATTACAAATCACACAATAATTACAAAATTACACTTTGATTCTAGCATATTTATCATAATAAATATATCCCAGCTTTTTCTTCTCAATATCAGAGATTTTTTAATATCTATTAGAGATTATATGATCAGATTATATTATCTAAATAATATATTATTTGAAGTTTTTCAAGGTCTATACCATTGTAGAAAATCTGTTGCAGCGAGCTCAGAGTCAGAATGCTTAATGTCCTGATTTTTCTTCACAGGAGTAAATTATTAGCAGGACTTCTAGCCCTCACTAACACATCTTATTTCCTCTATAAAATGGAAGAACGAGAAGCTTTTCTTGTAAGGAACAGGTTATTTTTGTTTTGCAAGCACACAGCTAAGCTGGAGCTTGTTCTGTGGTTCTCTGGGAGAAGTGTTATTTGATGGTGAAGTGTTATTGGAGTAATTTCCATATATGTTCTTCCATATATAAAATGAGTGTCATAATTGAAAAAACCTGAGCACTGAGTGAAAATAATCTCCTGATGCCAATGAACCTTGTATGTAAGAAAGCATGAGAACTTGTATTCCTGGCAGCTATCCCTCCCAATATGTTTAGGTGTAGAATTGTCCTGAATCCTGCCCTAGGGAATGCTGTAAAATCTGCTGGGCTCTGTCCATGCCTCTCTTACCATAATTTCAAAGGGGAGATGTTTGGCTGAATAGTCAAAACCAGACCTGAAGCAACAAAGAGAGAGATTTTGGTGGAGATTTTGATTTTGAGATTTTGGTGGGGATTTTGCACTTCCCAGGGTCAGCCACCCAAACCCCTGCAGGCACTGGGCAGAGCAGAACAGGTTTCCCTGTGTGGCTACAAAAGTCTGGCAGAATTCGCATCCTCCTGCCCTTTTTGGGGAATAAAATCCTCCACTGCTGCCAGCTCTAGCCAAAATACCAACCCCTGCTCCAGTAACAAAGGCTCAGACTCAGCCCTTCCCAGCCATGCATGAAGTCAGAGGTGCTGAAGCCCCACATGACAGTAGATTTTTTACTTTATCAAACTTAAAGAAAGTAGAAATGTCCAAAACCTTAGGGAACGTCATTAAAAGACAGGGATAAAGGCCCCCAAACTTACAAAAGCTGTTTGTTTTACAGTGTAGCATGCTGGAAAATTGGGAAGTGTCAGCTAAGCAGATGCTTTCAAACAAAAGCATTGTCTCTCAGGATAACATCAATTCCCCTGCTCTTTTTGATGCACAGGCTGGATAGCAAGGGGTTGAACTGAACAGGTGCAACACCTGTAAATCCAGCATTTTGTATCTTTCTATCACTTGACTTTGTAATTTAAATTACTTCAGGGCTTTCTTTACATGCAGGACACATCCACACACGCAGACACACACACTCAGGCACTTGTCAAAACCACTTGCTGTCATGCATTATGCATACTTTTGAGAAAAGTTAATATGATCCTGCAGCTTCCATAATGGCTAAATTGGCTTTTACACAAAATTGTCGCTGCTTGGTGAGGATCTTTAATTTAACTGATCTTTTTTTTGAGCAACTTGGATGCAGAGTGCATTGTGGTAGTTCAGTGATAACAATAATATTAATATATGGATTCAGTCTGCTGGCTCTATCAGCCAAAGAAGATATTTTCTTTGTGTTACAGTCACGGACGTTTGTATTGAGAAAATTCAGCCCTAAAGAACAAACTTATTAATGCTGTGGCAACTCAAGTCTTTAGCCATAAAACTCAGAGAAATCTGGGTCTTGAGGAAATTGCTTTCATTTATTCAGTTCTTTTATGGAGGGAAGCATTTTTGTGGTTTGCCATAGACATTTCACAATAGCAAAAGAATTGCATCTCTAGGGCTGTGAAGTGTAATTAATGGTTCAATCCACTCCATACCTAAGGAAAAGCTTTTTTAATTACCTATCAAAAAGAATTCCGGAATTGATCAAATAATGTTACCGAGGGGGCAGGCTTGGTAAATAGACCTCTGATTTGTTCATTCAAAGGTTTAATAACAGCAGCTCCAGTGAGGCCAGCAGCTGGGGAAGCCTTCAGTGACC